TGTCTGACTCTGGGGGTTGGTGCTCATCTCCATTTCTAAGCCAAAGAGCCAGCATTGCCCATAGACACCTCCAAGGTAATGTGGCCGGCATGACTGCATGGAGAGCCATTACCTTCCCGCCAAAGCAGTACCTATTGATCTACTCACATCTGCATGTTTTCGAACGGCTAGGTTGGCAGAAGCTAGGGCTGACAATGAGAGCTCACCCAATTCCCTGGATCTGAACTGCCAACCTTTCGGTCAGCAAGTGGTTTAACCCACTGGCTGACATGGAAGAGTCCCCTAAAGTATTAAACCTGCCAGTATGCTATCTTAGAATACATCTACACTGTAGAATTATAGCTGTTTTGACACCATTTTAACTGCCATAGTTCAATGCTATACAACCATGGGAGTTGTAATTTGGCAAGGCATCACAACTCTTTGGTGGAGAAGGCTATATAGACTGTGTAAAGGTACAACTCCCATTGTTTCATGGCATTGAACCAATGCAGTTAAAGTGTTGTTGCACCTTTAGGCAACATTTTGGCAACACGGTTTTGGCAACAGTTTCTGCCATATAGACTGTCACATCACATCTATGATGTGAACACTAATTATTTGGGATAGGGTAGAGACACTTTAAGAACATCTGATCTCAAAAAGTCCCATCACGTTGTGCCAGGTTTCAAATTTTCTGCATGAAATTGCCAAGTTTTATCCACATACTTCATAAGATAATTCCATGAAGGTAGCAATCCCCAATTGCCCAAATTATTCCCTAGATAATAAAACCCATAGTTCTTGTATACAAGCATGCTTAGAAACGGTATCAACAATGACAAGGGCTTTCCTATAATAAATAGTGGGAACTGTGGGAGGTCAGACCACAATAAGAGGGATTGGATGTCCCTCTTTCCCCATACTTCAAGTTAACTTATTGTTTTAAAACCAGCCATCTCCTGGGCCTAAAGCGATAGGGGTGGGGACAAAAGCACAGTAAAAATGACCCCAGAGCGTATCTGGCACATTTTGTAGTAATATTTTTATTGAGCCAATCACAATACAATCACAGGGGCAAATTATGGATTTTGTGTTGAAAACTGTATGCATTGTTTGTTACTATACATTGAAGCTGAGTTCATGCTTTCTTCTCTCAAAGTCATCTGGGTATTTTAGAAATTAATAGTAACATTCAGATACAAACATATGCACAATAATTTGTGATTTTAGCACATATTTATAATAAAGAAAAACATACCTTTCTTGTTGAATAATCTCTTTAATAGTTTTAAAGAATTCAACGTAGTATGTAGTAACTATTGATGTCAATATCCAGAATGCCGAGTGAATATTTAATCTGGGAAGAGGTTTCTCTTTCTTCTCTGTGCTTGAAGGCTCAACTGTAAATGAAACCACCATCATTCTCCTTAAGTCATTAAGTGAGATATTGGGTTACACAAGCAAAATGAATCAAATCAACTTTGTAATCCACCCTTTGTTGCAGTGCATAGCACCCACCTCAAGAGTCCTAAAATACACACGAGTTTTCAAAATGCCATTCATCTTAATTATGAACATTTTTGGATGAGTTACATCTGTGTTGAGAGAAATTTCTGATATGTGGTAAAGTATATTGCTTAGAAGCGGTAGGTGTACTAAGTCTCTCCAGAAAAAAATTACTGCAGGGAGGAAGACAAAAGGAAAGTTTTATTTTATTTTATTTAAAAACCCTTTCCTGGTCCTACCAACCACTTGTTAATTATTACAAGCCAATCCATGTCATTTTGTAAAATGCTTAGACCTGCCACTAGAAGACAAGGCTATCCTGGTATTTCTATATAAGAAACTTTAAAATCTGGGAGAATACACTCCTGTTCCCACCAAATGAACCTAAGAAGAAAGTGGGAGAGAGAAAAAGACCTTTCAAGATGATCTCAGAGATTTAATAGGAATATAAAGGGTAATTGTTTTTCAAATAACCTTTACCAAAACCAGTACTTTGAACAGTGTCCAAAATATGTAGGCAGCCAATGGTGTAGTTGCAACAAGGGAGTTGTGCAATCCCTTCAGACCAGCCTTAGTTAAGAACCTGACAATGGCTCCTTGGGCCAACCAAAATTTCTGATCATTTTTTGAAGGCAGCCTCATGTAGAGTGCATTACAGTAATCCAACTTTTTCATAAATGGATGCAGTTGCACACTAGTTTTATCTTTATAAAAACACTCCTGGCCACAGCAGAAACCTGGGCTTCTAGACTAAGAGCTGAATCCAGGAATAATCCCAAACTACAAAACTATGTTTTCTAGGAGAGTCTAGACACAGGTCTTGGATCTGTCTTCCGGCCGATGAGAAGTAGCTGTCTTGTCTCTCCAGTATACCTGAGAGATACCAGTTCAGCACTGGGACAGCTTCCTTGGAGTTAGGTGAAAAGGAGTAGTAGATTAATGAGTATCACTGACATATCAGTGACATCTGACCCAAAATCTGTAGACATCTCCCAGCATCATCATGCGTAGATCCTAAGGCGATAAGACTCTACAGGACAATGGCCATGGGATCAAGCAGGAATTCTCCAGCAACACACTCTGGAAAGCCTCTCCAGGAAAGGATGGAATAACTGAAGAGAAGTATGTCTAAGCCCATCCCTGACAAGAGACTCAGAAGGATGTCATGGTTGATAATTTCAGAAACTGCTAGGAGATCCAGCAGAACCAATAAGGACATACCACCCCCACCCCACCCCGGCCTGGTTCCCTGAACAGATCCTTCTCCAAGGTGACCAATGCTTAGACCAATGCTGTCCCATAATCAGGTCTGAAATCAGACTGCATTTGATCTAGATAAGCCACCTCATCCAGAAATCCCTGGAGATGAGAAGCCACACATGCTCTAGTACCTTTCCCAAAAAGTTAAGGTTGGAGAATGGATTATATTATCCAGTGCAGTAGGATCCAGAGAAAGTTTCACTACAGCAACCTTCAGGCATGTTGGGACCCTGCCTTGACTCTAAGAGATATCAATCACTCCCATCAGCCGCTCTACCAGTCCCCCCTTGGGTCTGTTCAATGAGCAAGCATGGGTCTAGAGCACATGTGGTAGCTCTTGTCTCTCCAAAGAGCCAGTCCACATCCTTGGGCTGCACAATTTGAGAAGTATCCATCAACATTGGATAAGCAGGTACCAAGGTTATAACCACCAGAAGTGGAATCTAAGTCAAAACTGGAATCTAAGTCAAAGCAAAGCTGAACAATTTTATCTATGAAATTATGGAGGGGGGGGGGTTGTTTTAGGCAGAAGGTGGTGCAGCGGGTTACATTCTCCTTTGAGTCAACTTGTAACAGATACCTAACAATTTGGAACAGCTCTGATCAGTTCTGTGCTGATACAATTGAGTAAATCAGGAAAGCATTTTTTGCCGCCTTTATTGTCCCACCATAAGCCTTCAGATAGATTTTTGCTCAATTCATTTGGACTTACTCTGCACTGTTGCTCCAGTTTCCATCTCACCCATTTAATTACTTTCGGGACATTAGAAAGCCGGGCGGGGGTTAGCTCTACCTCATGAAAAGGGAAGTTTTGGAGCAATTGTATCAACCACCTGGTGGTTTCCCTGTTCCTGAGATCAACCAGGAACAGGGAAATATCAAACTGACAGAAATATTACACTATGTAACAAAATCTAAATATTTTCTGTTCCTGGTTTGAAAGTGTTATTTCCTGTTTAATTGTACAATGCTTACATTGAAAGGAGCTGTTCTACTTCAGAAACTTGGTTTCCGTGGCTTCCACAAACTATGTTGAATTGGTTGAGACTCTATGAGATATTCATTGAAAAACTATAGCAAAATGT